ATTCTTCATCAAATGTTGACTATCAGTGGCCAGGGCTCTAATGTCAATGGGTTGTACTTCAGGAATAAAGGTATTGAAGGATTGAGAAGAAGTGCTTTGTTCATCTTGAGATGAGTTATTCACAGGTTGTTTGGGTAGTGTACACACATAATCTTTCAAGTATGTGGGTAGTTTCTGAGTTCTAGATGGTCTATTATTTTCTGGAGGTAAGATTGGAGTATGTTGGCTATAATCAGATGAACTAGCAGTACCAAGTGGGCTGTTTTGGTCTTGAAACTGTGGAGATGGGACATTATATTCATTTGTATCCTGGCATTTTCAGAGTCTTGGTTCCCTGATACAAGTGTTGGTGACACCATATTGTGATTATGAGGTGATGTAATGGGAGATGCAATAGAGTCGTTTGTGTTGGAATCAGTTGGTGGTGCATGATTTTCTACATTCAAGTGTATTTGAGGTAGTGGAAAAGAAAAACCATCAAGATTAGGAAACTGATCATCAGAATTTGATTTTGAACTAAATGGAAAGATACTTTCATGAAACAATACATCTCTTGAAATGTGTATCCTTTTTGTGACAAGATTTAACACCTTGTAGCCTTTTGTCCCAAAAGGGTATCCCAAGAATACATGTGGAGTTGATCTAGGTTCAAATTTATCCTTGTGTGTTTTGAGAGTGGTTGGGAAGCAGAGACAGCTAAAACTCCTAAGATGTGAATAAAGTGACTTTTTTCTGGTAGAGCAGTTCATATGGACACTTGTTTTTTATGGAGGATGATGGCAATCTATTTATTAGGTATGTAGAGGCAAGTATGCATTCTCCCCAGTATTTCAAAGGTAGCTTGGATTGATATAGCAATGCCCTAACTGTTTCAAGGAGATATTTGTATTTTCTCTCTACTATCCCATTTTATTGGGGAGTATAAGGACAAGTCTTTTGGTGTATGATTCCTTTACTTTGGAATAACATGGTACTGGCAGCATTGACAAACTCCAAACCATTATCTGTTCTAACATTTTTTTATGGTAGTTTGGGATTGATTTTCTACCATAACAACAAAGGCTTTGATAGTATATAAAGCATTGCTCTTGCAAGTGAGAAGATGTGTCCATGTGAACCTACTGTAATCATCTACAAGAGTAATGAAATATTTGTAGCCATCATGGGTTGGAATGTGATAGGGGCCCCAGAGGTCCACATGTAACAGTTCAAAGATTTTAAGTATTTTTGTGGTACTTTGTGGAAAAGGAGATCTGCTCTGCCTGGCCATTGGACAGACAGGACAGAAGAATGGTTGTTTTTGTGCAAAGGTAGTTGGGATGGCTGAGATGCCCCTCATTTTGACAAAATGTACATGGCCTAATCTATTATGTCACAAAATATCTACATTGCATTTCTAATAAGTAGATGCATTAGGAACAGGAACTGAATTACAAGATTCATGAGCATTGAAGGAAGGACAGGAAGAAACATTTGAAACATGACATTCATTTTTGTTGTTTGAAACAGTCTTTCCTATAGTAGACTGCACTTTATTTCTGTTGTGTGTGGAAGTGGATGCACAAGGTGTTGTGTGTGAGGTGTGTGTCAAAACAGTAGTGTCAAGTGCAGAAGGTAAAATTGAGTTACTTTTGCATGAGTTTGTACAATGAAAGTAAAGGTTGTCCTTTACTTCACCAATCTCAAGTGGCCTCTTTAGTGAAGGGCCCTGTAGAAGAAGACAGGAGAATTTTGTAAATACAACAATGCAATCTAGTTGCACAGTTAGGGAATGAACAGAAATCAAGTTAAACTTGAAGCTGGGTACATAAAGTACTTTTCTCAGAATGAATTTTGAACTAAGGATCACATCACCAATGAGTGTCACCTTCACTTTGTATCCATTGGGCAAGGAAACTAAGTAGGGATAGACTAAGGTCTTGACATTGCATAGTAATTTCTTATTGAAGGTCATATGGTTTGTGGCCCAGGAATCAAGGATCCACTGATCAATATTTGAATCAGAACATTCACGTAATTGATTATCATGCTCAATAGAAGAAGAACAAGCGACTGTACCTGCAAAGTTCATAGCTCCTCCAGTCAGCTTCATGTCTCCTGGCTTCTCCCCTGTGTTTCCTACTTGGAGCTTTTCCAGAATGTTGAGAAGTTGTCCATATTGCTCTTCACTCAGGTGATGCATAAGTCTTCCCTCTTCATAATGATCTTCTTCGACTTCTGCAGCATTAGGTCCATCATTTGGTGTTCCAAACATATTTGATGCAAATCTTTTCCCTTTATTGTTGTTCCCATAGCTGGGATACCTTGAATTCTGAGGATACCCATGGAGTTTGAAGCACTTATCCTTACTATGTCCTGGCCTCTTACAGTAGTCACAGAACGGGCGAGGTTTGTTCGAAGTGTATCCTCCTCTATTTGCATTGTTTCCAGTATTTCCAATATTGTATCCACTTGTGTTGTAATTTGTCCTAAAATTGTTGTTTCTTGTACTCGCTTTAAGAGATGCAGATTCCATCACAAACTGACCGTGCGGTTTAACTTCTCTCTGTTTCTCCTCTTGAATTATTAGTATGGAAAATACTTGTGCAATGCTGGAAAGTGGATTCATCATCAAGATACTGCCTCTCACCACAGTGTACACCTTATTTAATCCCATTAAGAACTGAATCAATCTTCTATCTTGTTCCGCCTTGTGCATGTTTGCCTTAGCTCCACAAGTGCAGGTGCAATTGCACTGAGCGTGTGCATTCAGAGTGTTAAGTTCTTCCCAAAACTTTTTCATTTTGGTATAGTACCCAGTGATGTCAAGAGTTCCTTAGCTTAGATCACTGATTTCCTTTTAAAGCTGATACAATTTGGCACAGTTAGTTTGGTCATATCTATCTTCCAATTCCTGCCATAACTCCTTCGCATCCTTAACATACTGCAAACTATCAGCTAAATCTCTTGAAAGCGATTTTAGAATCCAGGAGGTGACCATATCGTCACATCGTTCTCATTGGTCGAAGGTGGCGTGAGTTGGATCTGGCTTCTTAACCTTTCCAGTGATAAAATCAACTTTATTCTTCACCGATAATGCCCTAAGCACTCCTCTTCTCCAGGATCTATAACCAGTGCCGTCGAAAGCCGCCGGTACCAGTGTCGTTCCAGCGTTCTCTGACGGATGCATGTACAGCGGGCTAGATGAATCTAGGGCTTCCTTGTCCGTTGCCATGATTCAAATGTAGAAATCGTCTTCCTATCGACCTTCTGCAATTTTGCCCTAACCAAGGCGAATCAGAATCTCGAAGAAGAGAAAAATGAGAGGAAAAAGAATGAAGTTTTGACAGAATAATTCGACTGAATCGAGTGATTAAGGAACGAATCAGAGCCTAGGCTTTGATACCATGACAAAATGTTGAAGATCAACAATGGTGATAGCTCAGATCGAGCTCTAATGGATGAAGAAGAAAAGCATTCTTCATTGAGAAGCTTCGAGAGACAGATGAATTGGAAAATGATTCTTCACTGCTCAAAAATATCAGTACAATGTTATATATATATATATATATTTGTAAATAGCCTTACTGGCTTATTGCAGTAATAACCTAACTAATTTGCAGAATTGACCAATACAAAGAATAGCCTATATAGAATGTAAAATAATTACAATGTGGCTAACTATTAAACAATCTCAACAAACTTTTCTCTTTATTTGCTACTGGTCAGTGGCCACATAAGTCATGGAAATTAAGCAAATCACTGAATGGAGCACTAGTTGATGAAATAACTGACAGATAGTGAATTTCTATTTCTCGTCATCATTTGTTACTTGTGTGCTCCCACGAGTAAATATATTGCATTGTCTTTCTACGAGTAAACAAGCAACAAAATTCTAAGGAAATGATGCCTAAAATTGTTTTGTTTGAATAGAAGTAACCATTTCTAGGTCGGCGACTACAGTTTGGACATGTTTGAACATCGATAGAGAAAAGTGTGCCCTACGTAAAGTTGTTGGGATAGTATAATAATGCAGCTAAAAGCCGTTTGGACATAAATTTTTCCCTTTTTCAAAAAACAATTTTCAAATTAGTGTTTGGTTATATAGATAACTGAATTTTTGAAGATGAAAATTTTGAGGATGAGTTTCACTTTTTAAGAAAGCGGTTTTTACCTCTCTTTTTTTTTTTTTTTAAGTAAACAAAATTTTTCTCTCACAAAACTGAAATATTTTTTAAAGTAGAATGCATGTATAACACAATTTTAATTTTCAAATATATATTTTTCAATTTAACTTCGAAAGTTACTTTTTTTCAAATCTCAAGTTTTTATGTCCAAACACGTACTAATAGGGCTTGAGAGGAACTCCTTTTGCAACTAATTATAAATGACAAAAGAAACTTATATTGCTCTGGACTTCTATCAGATACTCCAAAAGTTATTCAAGTCTTGAAAAGGATCTCACACGGATGCAACAATATTTTTAAACAATTTGAACAGCATAAACAAAGATTTGGAAGAAGAAAGAGCTAAATACCTGAAGGGGAGCCTTGGTGTAATTAGTAAAGTTGTAGTCATGTGATCATGAGGTCACAGGTTCGAGCCGTGGAAACAGACTCTTACAGAAATACAAGGTAAGGTTGCGTACAATAGACCCTTATGGTCCGACCTTTTTCGAACCCCCGCTTATAACGGAATTTAGTGGACCGCGCTGCAATAATAATACTACTCAGAAAGAGCTGAATACCTCTGTTACCAAACTAGTAGACCTGCATCATTACTCAATTATTCTAGTCAAACTAATGATAGATAGTTTAGAGTGTTCCCGTATAGTGTAGAGCATGACCTAATTGGTCCATGTATGGTAGAACCCTTTAGCCCTGTTAGTTGGAGGTTGGTACTTCAAAAAATAAAATAAAATAAAAATACTATTTTTAATCATGATTTGGATTAGGCTTTTCCCTTTAAAGGAGTCTTAATTAAGTAAGATTTAATTATTCTATTTTGGATCAATAAATTGTCAACTCTTCATACATATATAGATAGAAATGAATAAGAAACAAGTTTGTTCAAACCTACAACAACTATCAATTCAATTTATAGTGTAGCTCATCGGAGTAGAAAAGAGAGAAAATGGATAGTAAGATTAGAAGTTTGAAACATCTGTTTGTGACAGTGTTTCTCTCTAATTTTGCGTTAAATGTGGTGACTCCAGCAATGACTGATATCACTATGGACGCACTTTGCCCTTCTCAAGACAAATGCTCTCTTGCCATTTATCTTTCTGGTTTACAGCAGGCTGTAAGTAGCAGTTCTATCTGAAAGAATCAGACTCACACCAATTCTTCTATTTTTTACATTTGATGATCAATTCATTTAGATTATGGGGCTTGGATCAATGTTGATGATGCCACTGATTGGAAACTTATCTGATGTATATGGAAGAAAAGCTCTGCTCATTGTCCCTGTCACTGCTTCCATTCTTCCTTCTGGTAAAGTTTGTCTTTTTTTCCTTCAACTGTTGAAAAGAGATGAAAATATTTCGACAACAAAAAACTACAGTATCTCTTTTGACGAAGAAAAGGAGTTGACGACTTTTTCATTTACTTTTGGTTAATGAACTGGTTGGAGACTTTTAATTTTAACTTTTCGACGAGATGCTGTCAGGAAATTTTTTCTCATATTTTCGATAAAACTCTTTCTAAAAATATTAATAAAATTGTTCTTCCATATCAATTGTCGTAGACATTATCACTAATTTATTCGATTTTTTTTTTAGTAATAATGGCATATAAGAGGACCACAAACTATTTCTATGCCTACTATGTCGTAAGGACCCTGACTGGCATGCTCAGCGATACTGGCATTCAGTGCCTCCCCATTGCTTATGCGGTATTATTTCATTTGAATTTTAGCCTAATCCTTTTTCAATTTATGACTTTATACTAACTCGAAATTGATCGACTCTAAATTTTGAATTTGTATTTGTTACATTAGGCAGATTGTATATCAGAAGAGAAGCGTGCTTCTGCGATTGGAGTTGTGGCGGGTGTAGGCTCTGCTGCATATTTTTGTGGTACCTTTGCTGTTCGTTTCCTCTCCACTGCTCAAATATTTCTGGTTTACTTCTTCTCTCTTTATTTCTATTTTGCGACTAATTAACTGTCTTAGTTTCCTTTAATAATTTGTTACTATAAAACTGTTGGAATATTGAAGGTGTCATCCATTTCTTCAACGGCCGCGGCAGTATACATGACAATATTTCTAAAGGAGACGACTCGTCATATTAATATCGACGAAGATGCTCTCAATCAACCCATATTAGCTAATGGCGCCGATGACTCTGAAAGTGACTCCTCAGAGAAAAGGCTGAGTCCTAAAAATATTCCATCATTTTACCATATTATTAGCTTGCTCAAAAGTAGGTAAGATGTATCACCTTATCTACAAATATCTACTAGTTTTTCTTTTCGTTACTTACGCAATTAAATCATTTGGTAGCTAAAATAGTTCAACGTGATGCATGTGGGAAGAGTGCCCCCAAAAAGAAATTGTTGGAAAACTAAAGACTTCCATTACCATATATAGCTGTTTGCTGATAATGACTGATGACACCACCAAGAACCAACTTTTGGCATCTTTTGACCTGCTTGTAATTGTTATTATTATTTAATTGCTGTTGAAAAAGTCATGATGTGGTTAATATTTGTGTTTTTTGGGTCTTAATTACTAGTTATTGTTGTTATATGTCATTTATTTTCTGTTTTTTATGATGTTACTATTTTTATGATTTCTGTTGACGGTACTGATATATTGTCTTTTTTTGTTTTCTTTCTGTCTTCTTGAGCCAAGGGTCTATCGGAAACAGTCTCTCTGCCCCATCGGGGTAGAGGTAAGGTCTGCGTATAAACTACCCTTCCCAAACACCATTAGTAGAATTTTAATGTCTCGTTGTTGTTGAAAAAGTCATTAAGTTTTCATTCGAATAATACTTGTGAGCGGTCTATTGGATTATGCCATCTTTATTTTGTAACTTTAGTTTGACCAGATTCGACAACTGTGAAAGAAAGTATTGATAAGAGCTTATGTTGGTAATTTTTAATCTTGATGACACCTATACTTCTGTACTTTCCACTACAAGTATGCGGTTACCATTTTGTAAATACTTAGTCTTTTTTTTAAAAGAAGAATTAGTCAAAGTAACTTCTCATCCGACCCTTTAAATTAAAAATAATCAATAAATATATAATATATATATATATATATATAATTCATGTATAATATGTACGATTTAAAGCCCTACAAAAACTATTACTACTCTGATGCCCGCATTTTAAAAAAATCAATCATTCTAACTGTATTTCAATTCCAAACTAGTTAAAGTAGGTATAGTTGCATAGGAGAAATATAATAGTATCAAAGTATACACACTTTTAAGTTTGAGAAAGAAATGAAGTAAACACAACAATCATCTCATTGTTTTTTTTAAAATCCTGTTTTTCACAGCACCACACTTTCACTAGCAACATTAATTGCATTCTTGAATGGTCTTGCTGAGGGTGGAATACAAACTCCATTTATGGTACTCAATTCTGTAGCTCTCTTAAGTGTCAATTATATTACGTAGAGAATTAGTAAACCTCACAACTAACATTTATTTGTTTACTTTTTTTATTATTTTGAAGTACTTCTTAAGGGCTCGATTTCAATACAACAAAGACAATTTTGCTATTTTAATGTTGATTTGCTACGGTGGAGCAACATTTTCTCAGGTATAAGTTCAAACTGATTTCGTCCGGTAGATCAAGTTAATTTCATGGAACTTTTGTGCTTACAATAATTTTGTCATTAATTCCTTTTCAATTTTTTCGAGTAGTTGATCTTAGTGCCTAAGTTGGCTCCTATAATACGAGAAGAGACGATACTTTCCTTGGCGCTCATAGCTGGTTTTACCAATGTATGTGCCTTCTACGTTCTCTCTCTATCTATGGTCTCTTATAGTTATATTTTGCAAGAAAATAAGTTCTTTGCGTCGAGATAACTTAAATGATAATGACAGATAAATCTATATATATAGTCAACATTATTGAATTTGACAAGATTAATGTAACTAGTGTGAATATTTGGAAGCCTTCTTTTAGGAAGAAATTGGTAGATGCATTTTTCATGCATTTACATTGCATGATCACACTTTATGTGATGTCATGCATGACATATTAAGGTTATTTCCCTTCTATAAATAGTAAGAGTTTTGTTCATTTGTAAACATCTCTCACTTGCATTCCTATCTCCTAAGACATTTGAATCTTCTTTCTCTCTTGTAGTATTTCACTTGTATTTTTGGAGTGAAATAAAGTTTGAGTTGATTGTGTCCGAGGACTAAGCAAAAATTAAATTTTGCCGAACCTCGTAAACTTCTGGTGTTCTTTTTATTATTATCTCACTTACCATTTATTAGCTACATTTAGATATAGTAGTTGTGATTTAATCACTCTCTATATATTTGGCTTCCGCAACAATTGGTATCAGAGCCAAGGTTGTATCTGAGTATGCTTTGTGGTTGCAGCATAATCTGAACTTTCACATCAGAAAATACTTACTTTGGTGTTCTGTAGTGTCAGCAAATAACTAGTATCTATAACAAAAATGGGAGACAAGAAAAATGAAGAGTCAACATCGAATGTCAACTTCGCTTATGACAAGAATTATGTCAAATGCGAAATTTGCAGTTGAAATTTTTGATGGGTCAGAACATTTTGGGATGTGGCAAGCTGAGGTTCTTGATATTCTTTTTCAACAAGGGCTAGATATTTCCAGAGAAGAAAAGAAACCAGACAATATAGGAGAAGAAGATTGGAAGATTATCAACCGCGTTGCTTGTGGTATCATTCGATCTTACCTCGCAAGAGAACAAAAGTATCCATACACAAAAAAAACTTCTACAAGTAAATTGTAGAATGCATTGGAGGATAAATTCTTGAAGAAAAATAGTCAAAATAAATTTTATATAAAAAAAAAAGATTGTTACGCTTCACGTATGTTCTTGGTACTACAATGAATGATCATATCACCAACTTTAATAAGTTGGCGACAGATTTGCAGAATATGGATGTGACTTTTAGTGATGGAGATATTGCCTTAATATTATTAAGTTCACTTCCCAATGAGTATGAGCACCTCAAAACAACTCTAATTCATGGGAATGATAAAGTATCTCTCAAAAAAGTTTGTTCTGCCTTATACAGCTATGAACAAAGAAAGAGAGAAAAGCAAAATAGTGGAGAAGGAGAAGCACTGATCGTGAGAGGTCGTTCTCAAAACAAGATGATAACGAAGAAAGGAAGATCGAAGTCAAGATCCAGACCCAGCAAAAATGAATGCGCCTTTTGCTGAGAAAAGCGACACTGGAAGAAATATTGTCCAAAGTTAAAAAACAAGGCCAAACCTAACAATGGGAAGGTTGTCATGGATTCAAATGTAGCTGATTGTGACGACTCTGATTTCTCACTAGTTACAACATAGCTATTCAAACCATATGACATATGGCTGATGGATTCAGCTTGTAGCTATCATATGTGTCCCAACCGGGACTGGTTCGTTGATTTTCAAGAAGGAGAATGTGGAGTTATTCACACCGCAAATAACAATCCTCTTACCGCATATGGTATTGGTTCAATCCGATTAAGAAACATGATGGATTGATCAAAACATTAATAGATGTTCGATACGTACCGGAATTGAAGAAAAATCTTATTTCTGTAAGAGCCCTAGAGTCAAAGGGATTCAAAGTCATTGCAAAAAATGGGATAATGAGAATATGCTCCGGTGTACTAGTGGTAATGAAGGGAATTTGGCGAAATAATAACATGTACCACTATCACGGTAGTATAAATATTGGGACAGCAATAGTGACATCCAGTGATGACAAGGAGACAGAAGCAACCAAGCTATGGCAAATGCACTTGGGACATGCTGGAGAAAAATCCTTGAAAATTTTATCAGATCAAGGATTGTTAAAAGGAGTAAAGACTTGCAATTTGGAGTTTTGTGAGCGTTGTGTCAAGAAAAAACAGACAAGGGTTAAATTTGGAAATATAATCCATAATACTAAAGGTATTTTGGATTATGTTCACTCTGATATTTGGGGTGCTTCCAAAATACCTTCATTAGGTGAGAAATAATATTTTATAACCTTTATTGATGACTTTTCTCGGAGAGTGTGGGTGTATACGATGAAAACCAAAGATGAGGTATTAGGAATTTTTCTCAAATGGAAGGCGATGATAGAGACTCAAACAGGCAGAAAGATAAAGTGTCTTCGCACAGACAACGGTGGAGAATACAAAAATGATCTTTTTAATAAGATTTGTGAAGATGATGGCATTTTGAGATATTTCACCGTCAGAAATACACCACAATAAAATGGAGTGACAGAACGTATGAACCGGACTTTGCTGGAGAAGGTTCGGTGTATGTTGTCCAATGCTGGCTTAGGTAAAGAATTTTGGGCTGAGGCAATAACATATGCATGCTACCTCATTAATCTCCTACCATTTGCCGTTATTGGTGGTAAGACACCATTTGAAAAATGGTATGAAAAACCTAGTGAAGATTATAGTTTTTTGCATGTATTTGGCTCAATTACATACTATCATGTGAAAAATTCAAAATTAGATCCGAGAGCAAAGAAAACTATATTTATGGGGATTACTTCTGGAGTCAAAGGATACCTCTTATGGTGTCAATAGACAAGAAAAATTATATTCAGCAGAGATATTACCAAACTGCCATAATAGATAAGATGATAATTGATAATGTCAAACAAACTGATGGTGCTTCAAAGCAGGTGAAGTTCGAGGGAAAATTAATTTTCCCAACACAGGAAGAAAACAAGAAAATAACAGAAGATTTTTCGCTGGAAGAAGAGCCAGTGGAGAGGGAGATTCCAACTCAGAAACCTCAACAACAACTTGAATCAATAGCAACCAGCAAGCCAAAAAGAAAAGTAAAGAAACATGCTCGTCTCATAGAGACGGTGGCTTGTGCAGCCTCAATTGTAGCTGATGGTATTACTACCACTTATAAAGATGCAGTTCAAAGTTCAGAAGAAGATAAGTGGAGGATTTCCATGAATGAAGAAATGCAGTCCCTTCATCAGAATCGCACATGAAAATTGGCCAATCTCCTGAAGAAAAAGAAAGCAATTGGGTGCAAATGGATATTTGCAAAGAAAGAGGAATTTCCTAACTAAGAAGATATTCGCTACAAAGCAATATTGATGGCCAAAGGATACGCTCAAAAGGAGAGAATTAATTATAATGAGATATTTTCTCCAGTCGTGAAACACTCCTCCATTAGAGTTTTGTCAGTTTTGGTAGCGTAGTTAAATTTGGAACTAGTTAAATTAGATGTAAAACCTGCATTTTTACATGGAGATTTAGAAGAGGAAATCTATATGACTCATCCAGAAGGATTCAAAGTTGTTGTAAAGGAAAATATGATGTGCAAACTTGAAAAATTATTGTACGGATTGAAACAATCTTCTAGACAATGGTACAAACGATTTGATAAGTTTATGTTGCGGCAGAAGTACAGAAGCAAATACGATCATTGTGTGTATTTGATCAAGCTTGAAGACGGATCATTCATGTATCTTCTCCTATATGTTGATAATATGTTGATAGCTTCCAAAAGTCAAGAAGAAATTGAGAAGTTGAAGATTCAACTAAAAGGGGAGTTTGATGAAGGATTTGGGTGAGGCGAAGAAAATTCTTGGCACGGAGATAAAAAGAGAGAGACATTCAAAGAAACTCTATCTATCTCAGAAAGAATACTTGAAGAGAGTAATAGATCGATTTGGCATGAATGAGAACACGAAGTCAGTTAGCACTTTGCTTGCTCCTCACTTTAAGCTCAGTGTTGCTATGTCGCCGAAGAATGAAGCTGAATGAGAGTATATGTCAAGAGTACTATTTGCGAATGCCGTTGGTAGATTGATGTATGCAATGGTTTACACAAGACCTGATATTTCACATGTTATTAGAGTTATAAGCATGTATATGCATGATCTAGGAAAGGAGCATTGGCAAGCTGTGAAATGGATTCTACGGTATATTCGTAATACCGTAGATGTTGGATTGATTTTTGAGCAGAAAGATAGTCAGTATCTGGTTGGATATTGTGACTCAGATTATGCGGGTGATTTGGACAAACGTAGATCAACTACTGGTTATGTGTACACTTTTGCAAATGCACCAGTTAGTTGGAAGTCTACTTTGCAGTCAACGGTTGCTTTGTCTACTACTGAGGCAGAGTACATGGCAATTACAGAGGCTGTAAAGGAGGCAATTTGGCTTCAAGGGTTGCTTAGAGAGCTTGGTATTGGTCTATAAAGTATCACACTATTTTGTGACAGTCAAGGTGCTATTTAATTAGTAAATAACCAATTTTATCATGCAAGGACGAAGCACATTGATATTCGATATCACTTTATACGAGATATTATAAAAGAAGGTGGAGTCATGGTGCAGAAAATTCAGACTACAGACAACCCTGCTGATATGCTAACAAAAGTAGTAATTGCGATCAAGTTTCAATATTGTTTGAACTTGATCAGCATTGTTGAACTTTGAAGATTGAAGTTGAAGACACAATCAAAATTTATCAGTGAGAGAAAATTAAAAAAGTGAAATCTTGCCAAGGTGGAGATTTATTGAATTTGACAAGATTAATGTGAACTAGTGTGAACATTTGGAAGCCTCCATTTAGGAAGAATTTGGTAGATGCATTTTTTCATGCATTTACATTGCATGATCACACTTTGTATGATGTCATGCATGACATTATTAAGGCTATTTTCCTTCTATAAATAGTAAGGGTTTTGTTCATTTGTAAACATCTCACACTTGCCTTCTTATCTCATAAGGCATTTGAATCTTCTTTCTCTCTTGTAGTATTTCACTTGTATTTTTAGAGTGAAATAAAGTTTGAGTTGATTGTGTCCGAGAACTAGGCAAAAATCAAATTTTGCCGAACCTCGTAAACTTCTAGTGTTCTTTTTATTATTGTCTCACTTATTAGATATAGTTATTGTTATTTAATCATTCTCTATATGTTCGACTTCCGCAACAAACATTAGTTGGTAACCTTGAGTAGAAGGCGAGCTATGAAGTGACAGATTAAATCATAAAAAATGTAAATTTTCAGAGTGTCAGCATACAAAAATTCATTTCGAAATGGATCTTCATAGAATGGAACACATATAAAGGATTTTTGTTGATAACTAGTTTGGAATTGAGCAGTTTTGATTGTTTGATATTTGCTTAAACCCTTTTGTTTGTATGTATTAGTGATGAGATTTTCTCATTATTCTGCAGATGCTAATAGATAGCATTGCATGGGCAGCCTGGGTAAGATAAAACTTTGTAACTTTACTATTGAGGTCTCAGCATATTTCCCAATTCAAGATCTTTATTTTTTACATTTGTCAAAAATTTCAGGTTCCTTATGTTGTTGCTTTGTTTCCTATGTTTCTCTTCCTAGCAAAACCAGCTGTAAGTTGTCTTGTTTTCTCCGAAAAATAACGGAGTACTTTTCATTTCATATTTTTTTCTTTTGGTCTTTTCGTTGATTGATTATCATGGCTGTAATATTAATCTAAGTGCTTTATTCAATCTAGTTACAAAGCGTTGTTTCAAAACAAGTTGGGCCAAACGAACAGGTAATTTAGCATAAGTACCTTTCATTAGCTTATATACAATTATACATCACTGTGGTAAACCTGGTATTATCACTTCTAACCCGCGCCAGAAACTATTTACATTCAGTAGCCGAAAAAGTATATAAAATTTATATAATTTTTGTATATAACATACAAAATATTAT